ACAAAATCTTACAAGTGATAGTATTTCATTAATTAATATCATTTGTATCATGTTAATCGAATTGAGTAGAACTAATAGCGGCACCACAGGACGGTAAACTCGGGTCAAATCCCTCCCATCCAGGAGTACTATCTATCCTATTTATCATGTTTCATGCTAACAAAAGATTTGACAGCTGAGAGTTGTTATACTCAAGCTTATTGAGAATCTCTTGCAAAGATATGTATGATTCTAGCTGAACGTGCACTTGATACAATGAACTTCGATATACTACGTGGTCGTCCATTACGTATAATGTGGCCTCAACGTGATCCAACTTTATGTAAATCTGATGTTGGCAAACTATTCATCGAAAATTTGGATAAAAGCATTCATAATAAATCACTTTATGATATATTTTCGGATTTCGGCAATATTTTATCTTGCAACGTAAAAATTGCTAGTCTTTCCAAATGAGATAGAAATCTCGATTTTATTAATTAGATCATGGCTGATGAAAATGGCCAATCAAAATGTGTTGGTTTCGTTCATTTCGAAACACAAGAAGCAGCAGATAGTGCTATTCATAAAGTGAATGGTATGTTACTTGCTGATAAAAAAAGTATTCGTTGGTCGATTTTCCTCTCACGATCAACGAACTGATCTCAGTGGGCCACGTAAATTTACAAATATTTTTGTAAAGAATTTTGATGATGAACTAGATGAAGAAAATTTTCGTGAATTGTTTTCCAAATATGGTAATATTACAAGTTTGAAGGTAATCATCAATTTAAATAATTAAAATGAAAAAATCCTTTGTATGAACGTAGCTTCCTACTGATGATAGTGGTCATTCCAAAGGTTTTGGTTTTTGCAGTTTCGATACTCCTGAAGAAGCCAAAGAAGTAAATTAGGAATTATTGTTTTTTTTTCCAAAACGTTTTCTATTTTGCATAGGCTGTTGAAAATTTAAATGGTTTTACTGTAGGTGATAAACAACTTTATGTTGGCCGTTGTGAAAAGAAAAATGAACGTTTATCTGAAATAAAACGTCAAAAAGAATTACAACGACAAGAACGCTTGAATAAATATCAAGACGTTAACTTATATATTAAAAATTTGGATGATACTATTGGTGTTGAACGTTTAAGGAAAGAATTCTCAAAATTTGGAACAATTACCAGGGTCAAGGTATTAATCTACTGATTTATATTACTTTTCCTTTTCTAAACATTATAATGATCTTGATTTAGATTATGTCAGAAAATGGTCGACCAAAAGGTTTTGGTTTCGTATGCTTTAGTGCACCCGATGAAACAACAAAAGCCATCAAAGAAATGAATGGTAGAATGATTGGCTCTAAGCCACTCTATGTTGCATTAGCACAACGTAAAGAAGAACGTCGTATGCATTTAACAAATCAACACATGCAACTTATGACCACATCGCATGTACATCCACCGATGCAATTATCAGTCCCAAGTAATGCCCGTGTTATGATGTCTTATCCACCAACATTATTGCCGGAGTATCGACGAGCACAACCACGTTGGTCATTAGCTGCTCCAAATAGTGGCATGACACCACCATCAGGTGCACAAATGATCGATATGGAAATGCCAGAAACAGATATGGTTGTTATTGTATCTCGCGCTGGCATGCCAGTATCTGCTCGACCAACGCCAGGTCAAATGATGCCTAATAATTCTGGTAGGCCACAAGGAGGCATGCAACAACAACCAGCAACAGCATATACTCGTACGGCTAGAAAAACGCCGCAGAGTGTAAGTTTGCAATCAAAAAAGGAAAACAACATGTTTCTATTTTATTTTTGTATATGTTTAGAATGCAGGTGGATTCAGAAATTCAATTGTTGTTCCCGGACAAAAGCCATTAACATCTGCTGCTCTTGCGAATGCAGCATTAGAAGAACAAAAACAAATGCTAGGTGAACGATTATTTCCTTTAATTCAACAAATGCATCCAGATTTAGCCGGTAAAATAACTGGTATGCTTCTCGAAATTGATAATACAGAACTCCTTCACATGCTTGAATCACGTGAATCACTCAAATCTAAGGTTTGTTCGAATAAGAAATGTTCAAAGCAGTTTCTATTCTTCTTTTGCTTTTCTTTTTACTCAGGTTGAAGAAACTATCGCTGTACTTCAAGCTCATCAAGCTAAACAATGCTTTGCAGCTAAACTAGCCGTAAATAACTCAGTTGCCTCATAAAAAATACATGTCGTCACACACAAAACAAAAATTTCAAAAAAATCAGGCAAACAAGTAAACACATATACAAATTTCATTGTCTTTTATGTTCTATCTCTTTTTTTTTCTATAGTATGCACCATTCGCTTATCTAGGCGCATTTTTTGCTAATTTTAGTTTTTTCTTCTGTTTCGTTCACATATCGCTTGTTGTTGTTGTTGTTATTTAATGGCGAACAACATTAACCACTTGTAAATCATAATCATCTTTATCAAATATAGGAGAAAAAAAGTTATTAAAGTACTGATGTTTTGCTTTTCTATTTCTCGTTGTGTTTTATGCTAATGTATCCGTATATTATCGTCAATGCCATCGACTATTCCGTGAGGTATATCAAACATATATGTATAGATCCATCTGTGTATCAGAGGTGTCCAGAAGGCCAATTTTATTGCCCTGCCCTGCCATGCTAATTAAAAAGAATCTTTTTCATGTTTAAATTCAAGTTTAAGTAATCCTTTTTATTTGAAAAAGAGTGCAGCAAATTGATAAATGATCAGCAATAGGGGTGCAATGGTTCAGCTCTAGTTCTGAGCTAGGGAACTGTTCGAAAGTTCATTTCGGTAGGAGCTGACTGTTTTGAGCAGCTCCTTTCAAAAGAGCTGACCTGATCGAACAGCTTTCATTCTTGAACTGAACTTTTTGAACAGCTCGTTCCAAAAGAGCTGATCTGATCGAACAGCTCTCGTTCCTGAATTGAACTTTCTGAACTGCTCCTTTCAAAATAACTGATCTGGTCGAACAGCTCTCTCTCTCTCTCTCTCTCTCTCTCAAGAACTGATAGACATTATGCCAAAAATACTATCCAAATCTGTCCATACACTTCAACATTCGTATTAAATTGTATTTCATAAATGCTTTAAATACCATTTTAGAGTTACTAATAGTAAGTAGTTCTCGAAAAAATGTACTTACTATCTTTTAGTAATCTTTGAAAAGTTATAAAGAACTTCCGAAGATGACCCTTGAAAAATTGTATATGTTATTTAAATTGAATTCAAAAAGATTTTGGANACTTACTATCTTTTAGTAATCTTTGAAAAGTTATAAAGAACTTACGAAGATGACCCTTGAAAAATTGTATATGTTATTTAAATTGAATTCAAAAAGATTTTGGATAGTATTTTTGGCATAATGCCAATCAGTTCTTGAGAGAGAGAGAGCTGTTCGATCAGATCAGCTCTTTTGAAAGGAGCTGTTGAAAAAGTTCAGTTCAGGAATGAGAGCTGTTCGATCAGATCGGCTCTTTTGAAACGAGCTGTTCAAATCAATCAGCTCCTATCGAACGAACGTTCGAACAGCTTTTTCGCTCAGCTCAGCTGACCTTTTGAGTTGGAGCTGATGCATCCCTAATCAACAAATAATAAACTAGCCCTAATTGAAAAAGTGTATATGATGATATTGCGTCATCACTGGTGATCCATCATTAGATATATGCAGATTTTGCAGGGCATGGAGATATAGCCCTGTCCTGCCCTCTGGACACTTCTGGTGCCTACAGAGCAAGTTTTATTGGCCCCCCCTGCAAATTAAGAAGAATTTTCATATCTATATTTAAAGTTGGATTACTAATTTTTATGTGCAAAATAACTCACAAAAAAGACGAGTCGGTGGGGAATTTGAATTAGCGGCAAATTCGGTAGCAAACCAATCAGACGCAGTGAAATAGGGTGTGGATGAACAGATGCTACAAACGAAGTCATTCCCCAGATGAACACCCCACACTCACCCACACCCTCAATGTTTCTTGGATTTAGATGATGTTCAATAAATTTCATGTTTTACTTCAGTATACTATAGAAATAGAGAATATAGTAAAACAACAATTAGTAATACAATGAACAAAAACTAAGTATCAATATATTTAACAAAAACGAATCGTCAATATATTCAAGTTAGCGTGATTACAACAAGAACATTATTTCTGATGATAAATATATTCCCATGTCGCCTCTTTTTTGCCAACTGCGCCGCAGTCACGCGTAAATACAGCGCATTGACCGTAGTGAAGACTTTTCTTAAATACTACGCCTAATGCGACCCAGGTCAGCGTAACTGCGTTCTAGTGATCGCATCATACGATCCGTTGTAGCTGTAACTGGCCAATTATAAATAATTCCTTCTTATTTGTATTTGGCCACTGTCGAACACTAAAAATTAGTCATAAAAAGTTACTATAAAAAGCACTGTTCATCGAAAGTTCGGTTCATAAACACATTCTACTATAAACAGTAGAATACATATTCCGAAAAATATTTAAATATTTTCCCCATTTAATTATTATTAATATTTTTTTATTTTTCAATTTTAAAATTTTTTCTAGATTTTGTTATTAATTTTGAAGATTTTAAAAAAATTTCTAGAGCGTTTTTTAGGTTTTTTATTTAAAAAAATTTTCTAATCTAAGTTTTTTTCTTTTGCTTATTAAATTGTAAATAATTTTTGAAATGTTAATTTTTTGATTTTTACAGATACCTATTTATTATTTTCCTTAATTATTTTATATTTTAAAATACTTTTTAACTTTTAATTTTTTAGTAATTGTTTTATTTCTCAGACTCTTGTTTTAAATTTTTTATAAAAGTTTTAATTTTATAGTTTTAAATTTTTTCTTTTCTGCGCTTAAAAATTTTTCTTTTAACTCATAATAAAAATGAAAATGAAAATAAAACCTAATCTGTATCATCTCATGTAGCAATCGCGATGTATTTCTGCCGCAAAAATGATCACACTCTGGCCCGTAATTGCAAAAAAATGTGACTCAGTTACGCGTAACTATGTCGCAATTTTCCGCAATTATGGGTCACAGTGCAATCGCAGTTACGCGGTAATTACGCCGCAGTTTCATCGTAATGAAACATATTGGTTACTAGCGAAGTAAAATAATTGTCGATTGCATTTTTAGTAAAGTTAACATTAAGAGCATATTCTTAGAGAGTGGGCGTGGGTTTAGTTAAAATCAAAATAAGATAAAAATGAAGACACACGGTAAACTGTCAAAAATCGACGTAGAATAATAAACCCTTCTAAAGAGTTTACGAATTTCATAAACCCTTTTGAAAAGTTTATTATTCTATGCCTATTTTTTACAATGTTGTTTGTTCCTTCAACTTTAGTTAAACGAAAAATTTTGTTGTATTCTGTTCTATGATCACTCCATCACTCAATTCTCTCACATTTTATTTTATTTGCTTTAATTTTCTTTGTCCATCGCCATCGTGTTCGTACATTTTCAAACAGACAATAACGGACTCCACTCAGCTTAGCAGTGTCATTATTGCAAAATTCTAGAATTTTCATAGAATTCTGAAAGCATTCGAATTAATCAGAATATTCGAATTGTAGAATAATGAGAACTTCACAATAACTAGAATTATTAGAATAATGAGAATTATTAGAATAGTGAGAATTTTAGAGTAGTTAACTAGCCTGGAGTATGAAATTTTTAGGGTGTGGGTGTGGGTGTTGGAGTTTGGTAATCGTACATGGCACGACAGTCCCCATCCCCACTCCAGATAATCAGGTATTTTTTTCTCTTTCGTCACTTTAATCGTATATGTGCGTGTACGCATTCTCTCATTGGTACAAAAAACCGATAAAGCATTTTTGAAGTGTCATCTTTCAGTAAACCGAAAATATGTAAAGTCTCTTTTAACAGTAGAAAATACGTAAACTATACGCAATAAAATTTATTCAACCATCAAGCAATAAATGAAATAAAAAAATTCGAAAACCAAACAACATCGCTAAACGACAAAAGATATATAAAATATGGCGGCAACCAATACACCAGCAGATGCTCCAAGCTATTCGATGACTTCATTATACGTTGGTAAGTTTAAACTTACTTCTGTGATTTTTTATTCTTCTAAAATTTTGATATAAATCATAGGGGATCTTCATCCTGATGTCACCGAGGCTATGTTATTCGATAAATTTGCAAGTGCTGGACCAATTCTATCAGTTAGTGTCTGTCGAGATATGATTACTCGACGATCACTTGGCTATGCTTATGTCAATTTTCAAGAAGCAGTTGATGGTATGTCTGTTTTTTTTGCATTTAGCATTATGTACTCACAAGAAATCTTACAAATGATAGTATTTCATTAATTAATATCATTTGTATCATGTTAATCGAATTGAGTAGAACTAATAGCGGCACCACAGGACGGTACACTCGGGTCGAATCCCTCCCATCCAGGAATGCTATCTATCCTATTTATCGTGGTTCATGGTAACAAAAATATTTGACAGCTGAGAGTTGTTATACTCAAGCTTATTGAGAATCTCTTGTAAAGATATGTATGATTCTAGCGAAACTTGCATTGGATACGATGAACTTCGATCTACTTTGCGGTCGCCCATTACGCATAATGTGGCATCAACGTGGTCCAACTTTAGGTAAATCTGATGTTGGCAAACTATTCATCGAAAATTGGGATAAAAGCATTGATAATAAATCACTCTATGATATATTTTCGGATTTTGGCAATATTTTATCTTGCAACGTAAAAATTACTAATTTTTCCGAATAAAATAAAAATTTCGATTTTATTAATTAGATCACGACTGATGAAAGTGATGAATCAAAATGTGTTGGTTTCGTTCATTTCGAAACACAAGAAGCAGCCGATATTGCTATTGATAAAGTGAATGGTATGTTACTTGCTGATAAAAAAGTATTCGTTGGTCGATTTTCCTCTCGCAATCAACGAACTGACCCCAGTGGGCCACGTAAATTTACAAATATTTTTGTAAAGAATTTCGGTGATCAATTAGATGAAGAAAAATTTCGTGAGTTGTTTTCCAAATATGGTAAAATTACAAATTTGCAGGTAATTATCAATTTAAGTACTTAAAACGAAAAAAACTTTTGTATGAATTTAGCTTGCTACTGATGATAGTGATCATTCCAAAGGTTTTTGTTTTTGCAGTTTCGATACTCCTGAAGAAGCCAAAGAAGTAAATTAAGAATTACCGTTTTTCTTTTGTTTTTCTAATACTTTTTTTATTTTGCATAGGCTGTTGAAAATTTAAATGGTTTTACTGTAGGTGATAAACAACTTTATGTTGGCCGTTGTGAAAAGAAAAATGAACGTTTATCTGAAATAAAACGTCAAAAAGAATTACAACGACAAGAACGCTTGAATAAATATCAAGACGTTAACTTATATATTAAAAATTTGGATGATACTATTGGTGTTGAACGTTTAAGGAAAGAATTCTCAAAATTTGGAACAATTACCAGGGTCAAGGTATTAATCTACTGATTTATATTACTTTTCCTTTTCTAAACATTATAATGATCTTGATTTAGATTATGTCAGAAAATGGTCGACCAAAAGGTTTTGGTTTCGTATGCTTTAGTGCACCCGATGAAACAACAAAAGCCATCAAAGAAATGAATGGTAGAATGATTGGCTCTAAGCCACTCTATGTTGAATTAGCACAACGTAAAGAAGAACGTAGTATGCAAGGTATGACCACATCATGTATACTACAACATATGCCAATAACTCCTGCTGCTCTGGCTAATGCAACACCACAAGAACAAAAACAAATGTTAGGCGAACGTTTGTTCCCATTGATTCAAATAATGCAACCTGAATTAGCTGGTAAAATAACTGGTATGCTTCTCGAAATTGATAATACAGAACTCCTTCATATGCTTGAATCACGTGAATCACTGAAAGCTAAGGTTTGTTCGAATAAGAAATGTTCAAAGCAATTTCTATTTTTGTTTTTCTTGTCTTTTTTGCTCAGGTTGAAGAAGCTATCGCCGTACTTCAAGCTCATCAAGCCAAACAATGCTTTGCAGCTAAACTAGCCGTAAATAACTCAGCTGCCTCATAAAAAATGCATGTCGTCACGCACAAAACAAAAATTTTAAAAAAATCAGGCAAACAAGTAAACACATATACAAATTTCATTGTTTTTTATATTCTATCTCTTTTTTTTGCTATAGTATGCACCGTTCGATTATTTAGGTGCGTCTATTGTTAACTTTAGTTTTTTCTTCTGTTTCTTTCACATATTGATTTTTGTTGTTGTTATTTAATGGCGAACAACATTACGCGCTGGTAAATCATTATCATGGTTATTAAGTATAGGAGAAAAAAAAACTTATTGAAGTACTTTTTTTTTGTTTTTTCTATTTGCCGTTGTGTTTTATGCTAATGTATGCGTATATTATCATCAATGTCATCGACTATTCCGTGATGCAGATCAAATATATATATGTATAGATCCATCTGTGCATTACAGGTGCCTATCGAGCTAGTTTTATTGCCCTTCTCTGCGAATTAAGAAGAATTTTCATATCTATATTTTAGTTGGATTACTAATTTTTATGTGTAAAGTATCTCACAAAAAGGATGCACGATTGACAAATAATACCAAAGCAGAAACATGGGGAAAATTGTGTTTCGCCTGTGTTTTAGTTTTTCATTAATTTGACGAACAGAACCTCCTCCACCTACTCAGGTTTTACAAGCTTTATTTGAGTCAATTGTGAATCATCTATGTCAACAATAGAAGAACATGAGAAAATTAGACGAGAGCATCGATCTGTATGTACAAGAAAACACTGTGTTTTGCTTATAGATTTATACGCTAATTTGTGACAACATTTTAAGCAGCTGATATAAACAGGAATTTGTTGAAATTAATATTTTGCATTCATAACACCTGAGTAGCCAAATGATCTCTTTCAGGATGATTGATTTTCTCTTGTTAAGTAAAAGTCGTTCTAACTAAATAGGTACGCATAATGAGTTTACACTACTAACGGAGAAATTTAATTCGAATATAAACATAAAACTGATTTTCAACAGCTTAAAATGCGAAGGAAGTATAATCATACTAATTTTAGCCGGTGATAATGATAACGATACTAGAACTCTATTGTGAATAGGGGTACTAAAATAATATTATTTTCTTTTTAATTACTGTGATTGAACTTCAAGACTATCGCACGGCTAAAATTCTTATTTACCATTTGAAAAGTCCATCTCAATTTTTCATAGTTTGTTTCATGTTTTGGAGAAAAATAAAAACACTGCTATTTCCAAACCTAAGTAAGCATATGTAAAGTATTCAGGGCACGAAGGTATTGCTCTGTCCTGCTACAGCAAAAGGGTAAGGTAGATTTACCCTGACCTGTAGACACCTCTGGTATATGCACTTCTTATGTAGAAAAGCTCCACTATATAATCTCTAGAAGTTTTGTTAGTCCGACTAACGTAAGCTTGAGTATCAGCACTTCTTTTGATAAAACTAAAAATGCAGTTCAGTTGAAAAGGGTGTGGGTGTGGGTGTGGGTATGCTTTGTATATTGGACTCTCTAGACCCGTACCTGCACACATACCCCACATCCAATACTCATAGATCCACGCCCACCCAATTTCTGCTCTATATATTTCAACACTTCTTTCAGATCGTGTTTCATAAAAGCGAGTAAATTCATGCAGTAATTATCCTTTACAAAAATTCACTATGCATCACTCAGTTGAAAGCTAAGGAAGCTCTTCGGATCATAACCGTAGGCAGTAGCCCGCTCATCGTCTATCACTAGAGCATCTTGCGCGGCGTAGAATTCTAAAGCTGGTTTGTTCACTCGCCCTGTCAAAACTTCATAGGACGTTGTTGACCCAAACATCGCTCTAAGATATCTGATGAATAGGCTGCCGTAGCCTTGCCGTTTGAAAGATGGATGTATGGCCATCTGAGCGAGGTAAACGATATTGTTCGGCTTCTGTTTAACAGTCATCAGGCCAACCAATATTGAGAATTTGTCACGCACAAAGAAAGTACGGCATTGTTTCTCGAATAGCTCGTGTTGCATATGATCAAACGTTTCTCCAAGCCATGGAATGATCTGTTTGCCTTCAGGAAGATTGAGGTCCGGTATGATGAATTGGTAGTAGTCATAGAAGGAGTCGATATAAAGCTGTCGAAGTTCTGAAAGAAGAGGATCTTGAGCGTCGGTAGGTCTGTATTCCTCAATAGTGCCGTTCATGACAGATAAACGTATGTTGTTTCTAAATAGGAAAAGAAATTATTGATCTATTTTCTTATGGATTTGAAGAGTGAAGACAGAAGGAGAAAATGAAAGTAAGTACCTATAAGATCAACAATAACATGACTCAGAACAAATGCTTGGAATATACCATTTTCAATTAAGACAAACACCATTCATTATTCACTATATTGCGTATCTTTCTTATTCCAGTATGAATTATGTTTAGTTGGAATTGAAAAGGCCATAGTACAACGATCCATCCTAAGTCATATTATTATTTGTCTCATAGCTATTTTCTTTTTCTTCTTCTACCTTCACTCTTCAAACCCGAAATAAAACAGACACAAACAGTTCCTTTCACATTCAAATACCAGAATTGTAACCAATTTACTGGTTGTCTTGCGTTCTGTGAATTTAATTAACACGGTATCGTTCTTACAGACCGATTTACTGGAGTCGGTCTGCTCAGATTGAGAGAACGCAAGAAAGTCGGTATGCAATTTACAACTCTGTGACAAACAACACACACTAACCGACGTAACGATACATCAGCAAGTATTTCCTTTTTGAGTTGTGATTTTTCTATCGTTATTTATGAAGTATAGCGTATGGAGGCGGGATGTGGGTGGGTGTGGTGTGCATATTGGGCTATTTAGGCTGGTACCGAAACTCACGTTCTTCCTTGTAATGTCCAGGAATTCCTTATTATCCCTGATATTACCCTGTATATCTCAAATCCCCTAAATCCTCAGTAGTCTCTACATTTCTAATATTCTACGATTGAATCATATAGTTTATTTGAACTATTTTATAATTCATGTTGTCTGAATTACTTTGTAATTCATATCCGTAATCCAGTGGCACATCCTTTTTTTTATTATGCTCGTGAAGGCAACACTCAGAAGTGCTTACATAAGAAAAAAAGAAATATAGATGTATAAGGGAAAAGCTGCATCGTTTAAAGCAACGCGTTACAATTTGTGCCAACCATATTTTATGCTGCGTACCAAGTTTTGCTTGTAAGGATATTCGGAGAGTAAATAAATGAAAAAACTCAAATAAAAAAGTGTAAAAAAGAAGCGAGATAGAAGTACTGATGATAAGCGGCAGCGAAGAAACTTGAGTACAGCGAACAGCTGGAAAAAAAGAACAAACTAAAAGAAACGAACGAGAGAGAAGAAAAAAATAAATAAAAGAAGTGAGAATGAGAACAGGATCGAGGTTGAACTACTAAAAGGAAGAAGAAACAAAAGAAGAAAATTGCATAAAGCATTACATTTATGCATCCTTCTGTAATATTAATTCGCATCAACAAAAGCCAACCACGTTAAAAGGAACGATTCGTGCCAATCCTTCAATTGTCGCACACGGCGTGTGCGAAAAAAACGACTAAGTTGATCGTTTTTCCTTTTACAAAAATTATCCAAGCCAAATATATCTTCATAGAAGGCTGAAGCACCAAGATCAGTTACTGTATGAACATGGTTTTCAATCTGCGTTGAATATATTTTTTAACATAAAATTGTAAGGGCTGTTCAGAAGTGACTTTTAACAGATTATGCGCAGAAACGAAGGGACAGTGATGCACCAACCGAAGACCTGCACGGAATTTTTGTTCTAATATATGTTGTTGAGATACTGGGAGGAGAGGGAAAAGGTGGAATAGCCACGCGAAATGCGGAAAAGTGTACGCGAAGAAACATTGACGTAGCGCTTTACATGACATTTTGCGACCAGACTTTATCCATTTCAGCTTTCCTAGCGATATCTGCATATTTCCTATGATTTTATCGACTGTTGGTTTCAACGAAAGTTTATCCGTCCAAGTAAATCCTAGGTATTTGAATTCTTTGACTAACTCGATTTTGTTACCGTCTATTATTACGTTTACGTTCGGTCTTTTAACTTGTGTATGAAATAAGTGTAGTACAATTTTAGAAACATTTAACGGTTGTTTCCACTTTTTTGAGTACATAAAAACCTGATTGAAAACTCTTGTACCTTCTTTTTCTAAGTAGTCAATCATCAAGTCTAATTTTTTCATTATTGGCAATTTAATTAATACACACAGGTCATCTGCAAATAAATGACATGAATGAGCTCCTAGATAATTTGTTAGATCTGAGTGAGACACTATAAATAAATACGGACTAAGACTACTACCCTGTGGCAGCCCTATATTTATACTAAATATTTTCGAAATTATTTCACCATATTCTACGTAAGCTTTTCTATCTGTTGGCCAACTATTAGTCATTTTTAATAAGTTGAGAGGCATACTCATTTTTTCTAGTTTACAGAGGAGAGCAGCAAGCCATACACGATCATAAGCCTTTTGGTAATCAACATATAGGGCAAGCGTCGGAATATTAGGTGCCATGTTATTTTTCACTTCCTGGTATATCGAAAGTACTCGAGTTGATAGAAGACATTTTGGGCGGAAACCAGATTGTTCTGGCGGTACTAAACGATTTGTTTCAGCCCAGTGCCTAATTCTTAGTAAGAGCACTTTTTCAAACAGCTTTGAATGTGTAGCTAACAAGGAAATTGGTCGAGTTTGCTCACACTTTGGGATACCCGACTTCAACTTATTTAGATTAATGGTTTTTGCAATTTTCCAGTCATCTGGACAACGACACTCGTTTAACCATGTATTGAAGCAGTTAGCTAAGCACTCGATGTAACTTGGAGGAAGTTTTTTAATTATAAAGTTTGACACGGAGTCAAAGCCTACTGATTTCTTAGGCTTTAATATTTTAATTACACGAGTAATTTCAGTAGTGCTAGTTTTTTCTACTCTATCATTCAACACTGATAATCTATTCATCAACTC